CCAAACCCCAACCCCCTCAGCGGTCAGGTTCTCGACGGCCGCACAGAGACCCTGAAAGAGCAGCTGCTACACAAAGCCGAGTCCACCAATGTGGACACCCTGGAGGGTGTTGGGCACGAGGGTAGAAGGATAGAAGGGTAGAAGGGCATACGAGGTGTGGGGTATAGTGTTTGGGGGTTTAGTTTTTGGCTTTGGGATTTTCCCGCTTTACTAACAGTCCTTAATAGGATTGTAATTGCGGGTACCAGAATCCTTTTTTAGGAGTATAAGGGGAGCATCCCAATTTTGGCTTCGAAGGTAGTTTTCTTGTAGTGACTGTGTGGGGCCAGGTTTATACTAGCGAGGAACATGGACCCACAGGGGAGAGTTCAGGGGTCGCCCGTCTCGGGCCTAAGCCCTAAACCCCAAACCCTAAACCCTCAACCCTAAACCCCATGCCCTGGATTCGTGAGGTCTACACTGTCGATGGGGTGGATGGAATGCTGCGTGCCTACTACAGCCTGCACCTCAGGGCTCTCTAACATCAGCTCCAGGCCCGTAAGCTCCTTCTCGGTGGAGAATTACCCTAGCCCTAAACCCTAAACCCTAAAACCCGGAGAATCCCTTGAAGGCGTGAAGGTACCTACTTCCCGAAAAGGCCCTTAGAAGAACTTGTATGGTAAGGGCCAGATGAAGCCACAAGCCAAGCCCCAGTTCTTCATTTAGCCACTGGCCATTGCATGAGTTCTCCTCTTCAAACCATTCCCCCTGACTCAGATCGTGAAGAGATGGATGCGCTGCTGCCAGCACCTCAAAAGATCAGAGTGATTCTGAGTAATTCTTCTCTTGTTGCATAGGGTTCCATGGTGTGATCCCCCAAAGCCCTAAACCCCTGAACCCCCTAAACGCCCCTACAACCACTAAAGCTCCTAAAGCCCCTAAACCCCATAAAGCCCCTAAACTCCCTGAACCCTCCCAAAGCCCCTAAAGCCCCGAAAAGCCCCTAAAGGCCCTTAAGCCCCCCTAGAAGCCCCTAAACGCCCCCTAAAACCCGAAAGATCTCACGGCTTTCAGAGTCAGGTCGCGTGTTTGGTGGCGCCTCGGTGATGTTGCGAAGGCGCCTGTCTCTGGCCCGCGGCCGCCAACAAGGCCGGCCTCGCAATCACGTGATCACGTTATGGCGATGGTCATGTCTCTAGGTGCTTTGTTTTGTGGTTTTAAGTGGTTGTGGCATAGCCATATTACAGTGATGTTACAGCTATAGCTATAACATTATATACATACAGACATAAATTATATATATATATGTGTGTATATATATGTATGCATACATATGTGTGTATGGCCATGGAGTTCCCGCGTTCTCGCTTTCTTTGTATCGTAGCCATGTTTTGGTTATGTTGTAGTTGTAACTACATAGCTACATAGCTACATATATACATGAAATATAATATAGTATAATATAATATAGTAGAATTCAATATAGTATAATATAATATAGAATTGTATTTTGTTATATTATATCGTATTATATCATATTATGTTATACTATATATTGTTGTATTACATTATGTTATTTTATTATATTCTATTCTGTTATATACATATAATTATGTGTAGACGTCTTCGTTACACTGTAGGTCTTGCTGACCCAAGTACCTTGCCCCCCCCCCCCCCCCCGGCACTCCCCCGCCCTCGTGCCGGAGGTGAGAGGAGGGAGGATGAGAAATGAGAAGCCTGGCAGAGTGGGGGCCTGAAAGCCTTGGAGGGGTTTAGGGTATAGGGTTTAGGGTTTAGGGTTTAGGGTTTAGGGCCCAGGGTTTTGGGTCGCGCCTCCCAAAAACTCCCTCAAGCCTTGGAATGGTAGAAGACGATTTGAATCTAAACCCTCTGAATTCAAAAGTCCTAAACCCCAAGCCCGTTTAAGCCCCAAACTCTGAACTCTTCAAACCCTAAACCTGAGACCCTAAAGAAACCCTTTACCTTCAACAGCTAAGGCGCTGGTTGAAAGACTGCGTGCATTCCACAGCTGGCCCCTGCCTTACTTGGAGAAGGTTTATGGCTTAGGGTTTCATCGGTTCGTGAGGGTAAGCTTTGAGACTTTGGATGGCTTGCACGACATACTTGAGGATAGAAGGGCTTCTGGTCTTATAGTCTTATCGTAGAGCTTCCTAAGGGCTTAAAACTCGGGTCCCTTTTTGTAAATGTCCTGTTTACAAAAGCAAGCAAGGCTTCCCACCACCTCCCTCTGGGTAAGGGCGGGAGATTTGGGCGGTTCAATCCCTCAACCTTAGACCCTAATCCCTGAACGGGTTTAGGGTTTAGGCTTTAGGGTTTAGGGTTTACGGTTTAACACGAGAAGAATGCAACGTATCCCCACAGGCCGACTCAGGTGTCCAGGTTCTGGGTCCGGGGCCTTGAACTCCCCTAAACCCTAAACCCTAAACCCTAAACCCTAAACCCTAAACCCTAAACCCTAAACCCTAAACCCTAAACCCTAAACCCTAGCTCAGTGCCCCGGCAACGCGCAGGTGGGAGCATGGCCGGTCTGTTCCGAGCTTGGCACTTCCGGAGCTTTCCTGACCAGAAAACCGAAATCCCCAAAGCGTTTGCCTTTGCTGAGGGTTTAGGGTTTAGGGTTTAGGGTTTAGGGTTTAGGGTTTAGGGTTTAGGGTTTAGGGTTTAGGGTTTAGGGTTTAGGGTTAGGGTCTCAAACCCGCTTCGAGCTCATTCATAGTGAAGCTCAGCATCCATTCCGCCGAGGTCGCAGCTTGGCGAGAGGCCCCTGGCAAGCCAACACGGGAAAGAATCGTTAAAGCGACTCCGGCTTTCCAACCGGATGCCGGGTTTAGGGGTTTTAGGGTTTAGGGGTTTAGGGTTTAGGGTTTAAGGGTTTAGGCTTTAGGGCTCAGGGCTTACCCCAATTTCCCTCGACGCACCCTTGCGGCCTTGCGTGTGATGACTCTGTTCGCAGAAGTGTATGCCAAAGTTCTTATTTGGGGTTGTTTTAACGCTAAAAAACCCCCAAATTCGCAAAAGTGTATGGAAAAGTTCTTATTTGGGGCTTTTTCAACGTTAAAAAACCCCAAATTCGCGAAGAAGTGTATGCAAAAGCTCTTATTCCCGGATGAAGGCAACAAAGCAAGAAGCTTTCTTGCCTTGTCGGGCACGGCTCCTGCCGCGGCACAGAGTGCCTAGCTGAGGACCTTCTGGAGCCCGAAGGGCTCTGTGATAGAAGCAACACTTAGACGTGTTTATGTCATTATTTTGTTGTTATTTTGTGTGTTTTTTACTAGAACAATGGTGGTATTCTAAATCCATGAATGAAGGAAACTTGCAACTCCCAGACTTTCAAGAAGCATCTTCGACCCTCCTTCTCAGGGCAGTCCAACGCCTCCCTTATCGGGACCTTGTTGGGTTCTTAGGGCCTGAAGAAGCCTAAACCCTAAACCCCAAACCCGAAACCCCAAACCCTAAACCCTGAGCCCTAAACCCTAAACCCAAAACCCTCAACCCCAGCTCAGAACCAAGTTGAGGGCCTCAGCCGTCTGAAGTTTGAGACCAGCTGTCTCACCCGCCGGGCAGCTGGTGACCATTTCCTGGGACCGGCCAGAGCCTGAGGAGGGTTTAGAGGTCCTACAGGCTAAACCCTAAACCCTAAACCCAAAACCCTAAACCCTAAACCTTCTTCGGTTTTTTTGGGCTTCTTGCTCATAGAAATGAGGGTAGCTTCGGTGTTGAAAGGCTACCTTCAAGCAACTGTAAGGTTGGGCAGCGCACAGAACCACAGAGCCACAGTCGCAGCTTCAATTCTTCCTGTCACTCTCGACCAGGTGCGAAAGCTTTCCGCTGAAGTGGAGCCTTTGCACAAGACGTCCGGGGTGCGCTGGTCATCCTAAACCCTAAACCCTAAACCCTAAACCCTAAACCCTAAACGCAGGAATCGAGGCTGCATGCCAAGGTTGAGGGTTTCTCAGAGAGGGCCCTTCCTGAGCAACCCGATGACTGGAGCATCCAATTCGTTCAAGCTTTTCACTGCTGAACTCCTGCCGACATCTATATCCCCCTTTTGAGTTTTTGTATTTTTGGTGTAAAAACAAAAAACCAAGAGCATGTTATTTTTAGGGGAGTATGGGCATCTTCGGATTCAACTGTCTTCTGGTCTGGGCTCTAGGGTTCAGGGTTTAGGGTGTAGGGTTTAGGGTTAAACCCTGCACCATTGACACCGAAAGCCAGTGCGTACTAGGTCGTGTCTGCAGAATGCACAATTGACATGCACAAAGGGCGACGTGGCTTTGGCTGGGCCCTGTTCCTGGGTTGAACCTATCGTTTGAGATGGGTTCCCCTAATGGGACAGGGTTGGATCATGCGCTGTGTAAGCGGAAGCCTAGCGGCTAGCGAATCACAATGGTAATTACAACTTTGCCAGCCATGTCCTGCAAAGTGCCTCAGTACTCAGTCTGCGAAGCAAGTGATGCTGTTGCGAGCAACAGATTCAAAGAACAGATGGAGACAACCAGCAGGATTGAGCCAGGGGCGATTGTGCGTTCTGAAAGTCTTCTGGGTTTTTGGGGCTGAGGGTTTCAGAAGACTGTGGTTCCTGCGGATTGAGGGTCTCGAGGATCACCTGATCCTGAACCCTGAGCCCTACAAGCTACTTCTTCCAGTCAGTTGCGGCCAGGGCTTTGAAAGTTTTGAAGTGTGATGAGCTGACGAGGGTTTGGGATGGGCTTCTCCAGCACATAGGAATTTTGGCTTAACATGCGACCTACCAGGCCTCCTAGGAATCCGCCTTAACAGACCCCCAACTTGCCATAATCGGGACACGTACGCAGGGCCATGCGGACACTTGACGCACGGCCCCGCGGCCCCGCGGCCCGATGCCCCAAAATTTTGAGATGAGGGACATCTATCTCAGCATGAAGACATGCTCAGATCTGGCACCTGGTCACAGAATGGCTGGCAAGATTGTTCACATATCACCTAGCACGCAAGGCTTTCTGTGGCGGACAAAGCAAGCCATGGCGAAGAACGCCGAGCAGCTAGCTTTGCAGGTCGGAATGCTTAGAAGCGACTTGGGGAACACCGGCCTTCAACGTTGAAAGCGAGCTGTGGGTTTTATTGGGAAGCCACTCCTCATGTCTGCCCGAAGCTAGCAACGAACCCTCCGACTAGCAATGCTCATGTCAACCGACGTCCCCAAGGACAACGAAACAGGAATCCGGGCAAAAAGCTTTGAACCTCAAACCCAGTATAAAAACTGCAAACGTTGTACTGGAGCTCGAGTTGTTGGAGACAGTACCTTCTCGCTGGATCCCCATTGCGGACCCCCACCCCCTCCCCCTACCACAAACAGTAGCGTGGGTATTTTGGCCCCAAGATGTCGTTCTCCTACTACTGTAACAACTACTAATCGTAATAGCTACGTTTTTAGATATTGTTCTATATGCGTTTCTTGTGTGAGAATCGGGGGAGGGGTCGAAGGCGATGCACTGTTGGGCTGACACAAGGTTGTTCTATTCTCAGGGTATTTGCATAGTCCCGTCATCTGCGCCCTCAATTGGGGGAAGCCTCATATACCAGAGCCCGTATCTCAGAACCCAAGGGGCCAAACTCAACGATTTCATTGTCCTTAGAATACCCCAGCAGCCGTGGAGGCCTCTTTCGCACACGAAGCCCAAGCAACTGAGGGCCCCCCCCCTGCCAGCTCATGGCAGTTATCAGGTGGACGCATCAAAAGGGTGTAGGGTTCAGGGTTACACGCTAAACCCTAAACCCCCTAAACTCCCGAAACCTTTAACGTATCAGACCCCCCAACTATCCAGGAGCTATGAGGCTTGGTGCCCTGAGCCGTTCCCATCTCCCATCACAGCTCGGTTTAGGGTTTATGGTTTCGGGCGGAAGGGGCTACCCTCCGATTATCCCCTTGGATTGGTCTTCTGCTAGATGGGCATGATGAAGCTGGGCAGCATGATGGAGCATGACACGTCTCGTCCTGCAAGCGCTAGGCCCAACCAATCCCTAAACCCCCTAAACGCCCTAAGCCCCCTAAACCCCCTAAACCCGAAATCCAAGCCACTGACTTGCAACCCATGGCAGGTGAAGGTGAAGTGCCGCTCCACCAGCCACTTAATCCTCCGTTCTGGCACTCTGCCGCTTGCCCTTCACAGTTTGAAGGGTGTAGGGTTTGGGTTTTAGGGCTTTACGGGTTCAGGATTTTAGTAGGCTTGCTAGCTGGCTCTTCATAATGTGGAAATTCTGAAGGCACTTATTTCCCACTTCCCCTCCTGAGAACTAGTCAGTCGCTAGGGCCGCTGGGGCTGAAGTCAGATCAGCCCGAGCATCAACATTCAATGTGGGAACATGGTGGACTACGATGATCTGCCTGGCAAAAATGTCCGGACTGGTGTAGAGTGTCGAGCTGATAGTGCACGACAACAGCGCTTTTGTAGGGTCTAGGGTTTAGGGTTTAGGGCACCCTAAGCCCTAAGCCCTTTCTTTGTCCCGCTGAGGCTGTACAATGAGGACATGCAGATGGTGGAGGCTGCAAGACTTTTCGTGCCTTTTGGACGGCTCAGGCTTCCTTTACAATGCGTACCTATCATGGCCTGGAGGATTTAGGGTCTAGGGTTTAGGCTTCAGAGTTTAGGGTTTATTGTCTGGAACCCAAGAACAGGTGCATAGTTTTACAGACGACGACGACAACAGCAACAACAACAACAACAACAACAACAACAACAACAACAACAACAACAACAACAACAACCACAACCACAACCACAACCACAACCACAACCACAACCCCACTAACCCAGACTCCCGCAACCCTACGCTCAGTGCATCAATTTCGTAGGGAACTGGGTACCTTCGATACCCTAGACTTGGGATGTACCCCCTTATACTAGCAGTTCTTAATGGGGATTATACAGGGGGGGTACCATAATCCCAGCTAAGGACTGTCAGTATACAGTCCTGAATAGGGATTCTAATCGGGGGTACTAGAATCCCTATTAAGGACTGATAGTATACGGGGGGAACATCCCAACCCTAAACCCTAAATCAACTGCTATTTGCTTAAGAAGGCCCCCCACGAAAAAACATATTAGTAATCCCTGTATGGCCCTTGTAAGGAAGGGGGCTTCTTAAGCAAATAGTAGTCAACCCTAAACCATAAACCCTTAAGGGCTGTGGAGGTCCGTGCTTCGGGTGGACTCGGTACCCTTACATCGCAACACCCCAACTTAAGAATGCTTAGAATCGGGTTTAGGGTTTAGGGCTGAGGTTTAGGGTTTAGGGTTTGGATTTGTTGAGACCCTCCCAAAAAGCAAATCCGCTCGATCTTCGCAGATCGAGTTCGCGAAGCCTCAGGAGGAGCCAGGGTGCCCTGGTGCTTTGGGGTGCTTGTTTTGGGAGCTTTCCGAGAGGTTGTGAGATAAACCCGATGGTGCCCCAGAACCTCGAAGACTCTAAAGGCCCTCCCTTAGGGTTCAGGGTCTAGGGTCCAGGGCTTAGGGGTACCCGACCTAAACCCACCTAACCCCACCTAAACCCCAACCCAAAAGCCCCAGAAGTCCGAGACCTTTGGAGCCGAAGCCCTCTACGCGTGGAAGTTCAGGGCTAGCGCCTGCAGGGTTTAGGGTTTCGGGTTTCGGGTTTGGTGCTTGGGGTTTGGGGCCTCGGGGGCTTTTGGTAGAAGCTTTGTAGGGCCTCTGGTTTTGAATTCTAAGGTGCATTCTGAACCCTGTGTCCCTCAACTTTCCCTCTCCCCCAAACCCCGAACCCATCCAAAACCTCAGCACGAGGGGGAAGGGGGGTTGTTCTTTCTTCCCCCCCCCCCATCCCCTTCACCCAACCACCCTACCGAAGCGGTCTCAGGTCCCGTATCTCGACTTAAACTGGGCCACTGAGCCCCTAGAATCAGGGAACTGTGTGATTTACTATCTATCCATAGGTGATAAACCCTAAACCCTAAACCCTAAACCCTAAACCCTAAACCCTAAACCCTAAACCCTAAACCTTAGGTTTCCGGTAGCTTAACCTTCCGAGATGCCCAGGCTGGGTCCGCCCATGATCATCATGAAGCTGAGCTCCATCAGCGGGGTGAAGGCGTCCCTTACAGCTTGGGGGTCTGTAGGGTTTAGGGTTTGGGGTTCAGGGTTTAGGGTTTAGGGTTTGGGGTTTAGGGTTTAGGGTTTAGGGCGTATAGGGTTTAGGGAAGCCCTGACCCCTAAACCCTATGCCACACCTAACCTCAAACCCCTACGTGCGGGCTCGGTCTGAAATACCCTGACCCCAAAAAATCACCCTAAGCCGAAAGCCAGACTTACTTCGTAATAGCCCACTGGTACCCTTTTTTGTTTCTGGGTTTCCTTATAAAGTAACCAACCAAAAGAGCTGTACCCTTATTCGAATATGGTTACTGGATTACTAAGTCACTAAGCATAGGGTCGAGGCTACAAGGAGGCTTGGGGTGTAGGGCTTTATGGGGCTTCGGGGCGTATAGGGAGTGTTATGCTTAGAGTTTGAGAACTGGGGTTCATGGTTTAGGGTTGTCTGGCTTTGTTACCCTGCTACCGCCTCAGGCGATGGATTACATCGAAGGCACCCGCGTGAATTGTGCCGGAACCTCAAGGCAACCTCAGATCCAACTTCAAAGTTCCGGGAGCCCGATACCCTCGCAAAAACTCTTTGAACTCACAACGCTTTAAACTCTAAACAAGAAACACTACAAGTACAAGCGCAAACCTCATGCACCTGACACTCTGTCGAGGCCTGAAGAAAGGGCAGGCAGACTCTTACGGCACAAAAAGCCCTTAGGGTACAGCTTGATTTTGAAAGGCTTCCAGAGGGGATTCAAAATGATACCTAACTCCCCAATTCCCTACGTACTCAGAGCCGAAAACCCAGACCCTGAGCCCTATAGACCCTAACTTCATAAATCCTGAGCCCTAAACCCTACGTGCTAAACCTAAACCCTAAGGCCTATAAGCCGTGAATCCCAAGCCTGCAACCCTGGGACCCCTCTTGAAGTGGCCCAAGTGAGGTGCTGATCATCCGCCTGAAGCCCGAGGTACCTGATGCCGGGGCCCGATTGGGGTTTAGGGTTTGTTTGGGGTTTAGGATTTAGGGTTTAGGGTTTAGGGCTTAGGGTTATTTCGGGTTTAGGGAGTTTAGGGGTTTTAGGGTTTCGCAAAAGGTTGTGGAGTGAGTCCGAAACCCATCACCCTTACCTTCTGTTCCCTTCTACACCGAGATACCTCAGTGAATGACCTCAATAGGCTGACCTTAAGCCTCTTAGTCCCCCCTTCCTAAACCCTTACCCTCATACCCGCACATGCTGGGCTTCAATGCTTGAAGCCGTGCATTGTCCCTGAACCTGAAAGGCTGCAAACCCCTCTGTGCCCTTAGAAGCCCTTGAGGGTTTAGGGTTAACCCTATGTGCCCTTAGAAGCTCTTGAGGGTTTAAGGTTTACGGTTTAGGGACTATACGCAATTTGGCCCTATCCCCTAACTCCCTCAACCCTAAACCCTCCCCGAAGCCGCCCCCCCCCCCCCCCCAAAAAAAGCCCTCATGGCGGAGTTACTCAGCAAATCTGAGGATGTGATGCAAGCCCCGCCTGACCCCGGGACAGAGGAGACAGTGGCTCCAGCTGATGCCGTTTAGGGTTTAGGGTTTAAGGTTTCCCCTACACCCCAAAACCTAAGCCCTAAGCCCTAAACCTTTGTCATAGTTGGGTAATTATCATTTTACATGTTTAAGGGTATATTTTTCAATTTTATCCCAACCATGAACTAGAAACCCTAAACCCTAAACCCTACACATGCCCTGCACCCTAAACGCGAAACCATAATCTTAAACCCTGAGCCTGAAACTCGGAGATCTCAATTCTGATCGGTTTCAGGACTTCGGGTTGTCCGATCTTCGTCGTTCAGGGTTTAGGGCTTAGGGTTTAGGGCTTAGGGTTTAGGACCTTAAGCACTAGACCATTAGGGTTCAGGACCCTTAGCTCTGGACCGAACACTGTTCGAAGTTTTTTCGGGAGTTCCAACCTCTCTGCCCTCCGACCTCCACAGTTGCTTTTGCGAGGTTGAGACTAGGGACTCTGTGGGGCTCTGGTGTTGGGGGAAGCCTGAAGCCCCCCGGCCGCTGGTTTCGGGTTTAGGGTTTACACACACAGTGGTTTGACCCTACTGAAAACGTGACATTTGAAAGCGGTATAGGCCCCTGACGGCAAAAGCAAAAAGGCCGAAGCATTCAAGATTCAGTGATCCGAAAATCTCTTCAAGCATTGGAAATCTCTAGGTTTCGGGAGTTAGGCTTACGCTTTTCAAGTCTGTGGGCTGTAACGTACAGCTCCAGCATGTACCAAATGGTCCAGGTAAGTAACGGGAATACTTTGGCCCTGGCACCAACCCGAAACCCTAAACCCTAAACCCGAAACCCTCTTGTGTGGTCCTTTCGGTTTGGGAGGAGGAGGTCACCGTGCAGTTTGCTCGTGTGGAGGCAGGGCACTCTCGCTGTTCGAGATCTCTTGAGGCTCTTAGGGTTTAAAACTCCCAAGTCCTACACGGCAAAACTGGCCATGCAGGAGTTTCATTTTTTGACTTCCGAGCGCTTTGGCATTTGCAGTCTCAGTCTTGGCAGGCCCCCGGTTGTTGCTTCTTTCGTAACCCTAAACCCTAAACCCTAAACCCTAAGGTTCAGCTTGGCTCGGCTGGGCTCCGTTTCTTGCTCGTTTTATGTACAAACTTTTCCTAGACGCTAAACCCTAAACCCTAAGGAGTAGTAGTGAAAAAGGGTAGCATAGTTGCTGGCTCCTTGTCAGGACTGCCCTACTCGACGCACGAGGGGTTCAAGGGTTTAGGGTCGTTTAGGGTTTTGGATTTAGGGTTCAGGGTCAGGGTTCAGGGTTTAGGGTCTAGGGTTTAGGCTCTATGTTTTCTGGCCTTCGGGCCTTAGGGCCCTGAACCCTAAACTCCAAAAGCCCCCAAGCCGATCTGAGGATCGCGACAACTGGGACAGTGGCCTCCGGCGCGCGGCTGAGTTGGTTTAGGGTTTAGGGTTTAGGGTTTAGAATTAGGGTTTAGGGTTTAGGGTTCAGGGTTTAGGGTTTAGGGTTTAGGGTTTGCCCGCTGCGACCCTATCGGCTGTTGGGGCAGGTCTGGAGGTTGCCGGGCCCAGGGCTTATAGAATTTGGGGTTCAGGGTTTAGGGTTTGGGGTTGAGGGTTGGGGTTTTGGGTTTAGGGCTTAGGACTGAGGAAGGGAGGAAGCTGAGGTGTGCGTGTCTTGAGTTTAAGGTGCTCGGGCTTCAACCCTCAACCCTAAACCAAGCCCTCGAAGCAGCTGCGCACGTCGACCCACTAGGAATCCCTAAACATTACCAGTTTATGGTTGAGGGTTTAGGGTTTAGGGTTTAGGGTTGAGAGCCAGGTGGAAGTAGGGAGTTAGGTAAATTTATTCTATCCCCCCGATAGCGTGCGCCGCAGGGTATTGCAAAGTTTCTGAATCTCAACACCGGCTTAGAAATCGTTCAGGGTTCATGGTTGAAGTCCTAAACCAAAAACCCTGAAGCCTAGACCCTAAACCTTAAACCTTATACCCAAAACCCTAAACTCTAAAGGCATCCCTACTTGGAGGTTCATGGGCTTATCAGTAGGGTTCTTGGTAGGGCAATTTTGTTTAGAACCATATTTAGGGTACTTGTCACCCGACGTACCCTTTGCAACCTCCAAGTAAGGCTTTGCTCACCCAAAACCCTAAACCCTAAACCCTACACCCTAAACCCTACACCCTAAACCCTAAACCCTAAACCCTTTGAATTGAAAGGTGCTTTGAACCCCCTGGCCCAGGTACCTCATCAATGCGCTGGAGGTAACGGTGGCAAAGGACCAAGTGGAGGTCCGGCTTCCATGTGCGGTTTAGGGTTTAAGGTTTAGGGTTTAGGGTTTAGGGTTTAGGGTTTAGGGTTTAGGGTTTGGGGGGCTCAGGGTTCAGGGTTTGATGTTTTCAGTGTTAGGGTCTTAGGGTCGCAGGGGTTTAGGGCTTTAGGGATTTAGTGTTTTTAGGGTTTAGGGCAGAATCAGCCGGACTTTGCTGGCTTTGGGGTGCAGGGTTGCTGATGGATCCCTAAACCCAAAACCCCTGAACCCCTTAATACCTTAAACCTTCAAGTATAGGGGTTTAGGCTGCCAAGACATGCGGGTTGCATCAAGGTCCGCCAAGCTAGGGTTTAGGGTTTAGGGTTAAAGGTTCAAGGTTTACAGGTTTAGACATTAGGCCCCAAACCCTAAACCTTAAGTTCTCGGGCCCTCAAGGGATGTGGGTTCAAGGGGAACTCATGGAGCATCGGGAAGTACTTCGGAATGTTGGGAAACCCCTCCCTCAAGTCAAGGACTTAAGGACCTAAACCCTCAAACCCTCAACCCCTCAACCCTGAACCCTAAATCCGCAACCCTAAACCCTAAACCCTAAACCCTAAGCCCTTAAGCGGGCTCCCTTGGCCCGAAAAATCCTAAGCCTGACCGTAGGTGCCCACGCGCAGCTTCAGCCGAATCAAGAAGGCTGCCGGGCAGAGGGCTTTCTGGGCTTTTTGGGGTTTGGGGTAAGGAGGCTCGGGCGGGGGAGGGGTATAGAGCATGTAGGCTTTTACAGGTTTTGGGTGTTGATTCGAGTTTCAAGCCCTGAGCCCTAAACCCCAGAGCCCTGAAACCCCAAACCCTAAACCACCCTGCAACTTGCAAAACCCTAAACCCTAAACCCTAAACCCTAAAAAGTTCGGCCCTTGGGCTCTGACTTTCTTGATTTCGCGCGCCTGCCTCGTTCCCCAAGAGGGTCCGTCTGTAGTGCTGTTCTTGATAGCCCAGTGGTACCCTTTACCCTTTCTTTTTGGGCTCTGGGTTCCCTTGTAAGAATATCCAACCCAAAAAAGGGTGCCCTTATTGTACTACGGCTACTGGGCTGCCAAGTATTATGGAATTAGCTATCCCAAACCCTATTTAGTATGGCTTCTGGGTACCTAATTTCATCCTAGTACCACAGATGCACCCTCCGGGCTCCAGGTCCTGATCAGGACCTGGAAAGCTAGGAGGGGTTAGGTCGGGGGAGCAAAGGGTATGCGTATACTTTTGTTCCAGTGTAACGCTTGATCTAGCTTTTCTTTGTTTTCGATTTCTGATGTATTCCTGGCCTCCCCCACTAAACCCTAAACACTAAACCCTAAACCCTAAACCCTACTGGTTGCTGGGGTTGGCAATGTCTGTTGAACCATGAGAAGGGACCCTCAACAGGGAGCGCTGTGTGGAAACTGAGCATCGAAGCCATGAAGTGCTGGCACATGGCGGGTTTAGGGTTTAGGGTTTAGGGTTAGGGTTTAGGGTTGAGGGTTGAGGGTCGAGGGTCGAGGGTTTTGGGCCCATGTGAGTGCGAGTGGCCGGGCTGCATCGGGTTTAGGGTTTTGGGGTTTTAGGGTTTTGGGGTTTTAGGGTTCAGGGTTTCGGGTTGGAATCTTCTGTCTTGGTTTCAGCTTCATAGGCTTTCCATTGAGCTGTTCGGAACGTTTGAAATTGTTTATTGTGCTCGGAACCCTACCTGTAAGTACCCATGAACCTTCAAGTATCTAGTCCAAGCGCTTGTCAGAGAACTCAGCCCCCCAACTTATTGTGAGGACCTTCTAACCAACCCTCACACAGTCATAGCTGGGTTGATGG